TTGACACCAAAGCAAGAACATACAATGATGGAGATGACTTGGGTACCAACACTTTCTAGACATTGGGAAAACAAGTTGGAAAGGCAGGCAAACTTTAAAAATTTAAATGACTGCAATATTTATTTACATGTCTACTTCTTGTTTTTTCCAACCTATTTTTAAGAACATCTCAGATTTTTTTAAATCTAAAAATGCTTACTAGTTTCTGCTTTGTAAAAATAAACACACAAAAGCAACAAAACAAAAACAAAGCCATAAATCCAGGTTTGCCATGGCATTATGTCCAATTTAATAATAAGATCTAGAACCTTCCAGGAGCCATTATCACTTTCTAGGACTGCAGCTAGGTAGTGATTCATGCTCAGATCCCATTACACAGCCGGACAACCAAAACCAACCTGGTTCCAGTACTTGTTCTTTAGATCCATCCCCACTTTTCATCACATTTAAGGCATCTCAACAAACAGTTTACAAAGGAAACAACTTAATCTTCTGTGATTTATTCTTTTGGAGGCCTCCTACAACTGTTTGGAAGAAGTTAACCTTTTGTGAACCCACCAGGTGAAATCTCTGACCGGATTTTTATAAATTATTATTGTCACCTCGGTTATAAAGTAATTCTTACTTACATCTCAATGAGATGTAAACTACCTCAATATAAAAAAAAAGAAAATATTAAGGAAAAAGGAGTTCATATTTATGAGAAGAAAGCACTTAGAACACAAATTAGAAAGAAGCTCAGTGCTATAGCTGCAGCTTATCATTTGAGGGCCAACTCCTCTCCGGAATCATTCATCTGGAAGTTTTTTTTCCCAGAAGAGTGAAGAAACCTGAAAGAAGTCAAATCAATCGCCTTCTCTTCCCATGCCAAAAATAAAATAAAGTAAAAAATAGGAAGGCACATTTCTAAATGTCAATAACCACAAAACGATGCCCGGAATCTCTACCACACCGGCATCCTCATAAACCACTGACTAAGGAACCACACTGGAGTCCCTTCCACATTCAGAGGCAGGGGCACTAAAATTCGGGGCAAGGTCCCCCCAACTCCACCCAAACCCCTCACCCCCGGTGAGGCAGGCAGCTCCGTGCGTTCATCCGTTCCTATTGGAAGGCATGTAAAGAATGCCCGACAGCGGCAAAGCACAGGCTGCGGAGATGGAAAGGCGAAGCCTCTGCTCGCTGCTAGCGGAGCTGCGCTGGGGTCAGCGCGGGCGGCAGCTCAGCTCCAGGTCGGCGCATCTCAGCGCCCCCGCTCCTCCATCTCTCCATCCCCGGCTCCTCCATCTCTCCATCCCCGAGCGCCCAGGCTCCGGCGCCCACGACCCCCCGCCGTGACCGAGTCCCGGATACTCAGTCGGCATTTCCCCGACGACCTCGGGGCCCTCAAGACCCCGTCCCCAAAGTTTCCCGTATCCCCATCACCCTAGGAGGTCCACTCCAAGGAGCCTGTCCCCCGGACACCCCCTAAGGTGAGATCCACTTCCCCCGGCCCAAGCGTGGGGCCTCCGAGCAAACGGGGCCACCCACCCTCACCCACAGCCTTGCCAGGGTCCAGGTCCACGGCTGGAAGGTTACCTGTCGGGGATCCAAGGCTCCAGGAGCACCCGAGAAGCTCCTCCCCGTCCATCGCGACTCCCCTCACGCCCGGCACCGCCTCCGGGGCGGGACTTCCGCTGTCTCACTTCCGGCCCCGGTGGTGGTCCCCAGGCGGCTGCCCCGCTGAGAGCCTCACCTCTCCTATTGATGTTGTCATGTCCCACCGGTTCCTGGGTCCCCGGGATCCAGGAGCGCTGCAGGTCCCGTCCACCGGTTCTTGCCCGCCTGCTTTCCTAATCGCCGCTGGGTAATGCAGCCCCGAGAAGTGCCTTTTTGTTTGTTTTTCAAACTCCTGTGCCATCCTCTGCAGCCTTCTCTTCAGCAGACACTTGCCTCTCTGCTCCTTTTGTACCGTGAGCTCATCACTCCTCCAAACTCTTCTGTTCAACACCGGGTTGTTCTGGTGATTCATCTGATTTTTTTTTTTTCTTTTTTCCGATTCTCTTGTCCGAATCTGCCTGTCAGGTGTAACGGTGTCACCGAAGCAAGTTACGTAAGCTCTGTGCCTGCTTCCTCAAGGGTGGAGCAGATAGCGCCACTCCAGGACACTGGGTTGGCGTGTGTGTGTGTGTGTGTGTGTGTGTGTGTGTGTGTGTGACTTGAAACGTAGCACGTGGAAAGCGAAGGCACAAGGGAAACATTCAAGCCTTAAAACTATTACAAGAGCTCTCTTGTTTCCTGTTGGACCATGTAAGTGATAAGGAAGGCAGGAGCCAGTGTTCCTGGTATCCTTTCCACAGCTTTTACTGAAGCGAATAATTCATGATGCTTAGCACTTTCCCCCCCTTCCATGGTGAGCTCCTCCGATGGCATATTCCTCACCCAAGGATTTTTAAATTTTTTTCCCCCCATTGATTTTTCAGAGAAAGTGGCAGGGAGAGAGAGAAACATCCTTGTAAGAGAGACACACGATTGATTGCCTCCCACGCTCACCTGCAGGGGTGGGGGTGGGGGTGGGGAGAGAATGGGATGGAACCTACAACCAGGTACACGCCCTTGACCTGAATCCGCCCTAACCACCTGCCAGGGCCAAAGATGGTATCTTAATGGGAGCTAACTTCAGCCCTAGTTGGAAAATCACCTGCTTGGTTATTGTGCTTGAGGGGAAAGATGAATAATACCCAGGCCTTGTCCTCAAAACCATGAAGATACTTAATAAATTATGGACAGAAGAAAGTCATCCCGGGAAAAAACAGGAGGGAGCAGCTTAATTGAAGATATATCCTGAGAACAAAAAAAATCAAAGAATGTTAGAACTGAATTTTTTTTTTTTTTTTAGAGATAATAATTTAGTTAAGCTTTTGATGTTACAAGAAAATTGGATCCAGCCGAAACCGGTTTGGCTCAGTGGAATGAGCGTCGGGCCTGCAGACTGAAAGATCCCAGGTTTGATTTTGGTCAAGGGCATGTACCTTGGTTGCGGGCACACCCCCAGTAGGGGGTGTGCAAGAGGCAGCTGATCGATGATTCTCTCTCATCGATGTTTCTAACTCTCTATCCCTCTCTCTTCCTCTCTGTAAAAAAATCAATAAAATATGTTTTTTAAAAAAGAAAGAAAATTGGATCCAGAGAAGCAAGGGATTAAAAGTCATATAATTAGTGGCAGGGTTAGGCCCAAGAGGTGAAGTTTCCAAATGCTCACCACCTCCCCCATCCCCCAAATTTGTCTCAAGATGTTAATAAGGTAAAAGCAGACCTTCAAGACCTCACTCTCAAGTAAAAAAAAAAAAAAAAAAAAAAAAAAAAAGTAGGAAAATTCCAGTCCAGAATAGATAAGAGCAATAGATGAGAGCTAGGGCAGATACTGCAGTTATGATGATCATTTTGTTTAAAATAATAGAAATGTAGCCACTTTAAAATGGAGCCAGAGCAGCCATCCAGAGGAATTACCTTGACATCTTAGGCCTCAAGCCTTTGGAATGTTAAAACAGGGCAAAAAACCTTTGGACGGGGCCTAAATCAACATTGTGTCCCAAAGAACTGTTTGCAAACATAGCAAGAAATCAGATATTATGACTACTGGACTGAAAATTAATTTTTTTTTAAAAAATTTACATCACTATGTTAGCTTTTCTGCACAAATAGAAATGCTTTCCTTTTATGGAGGTAATTTCCCTCTTTTCCTTTCCATAAATACCCTTTGCCTTTGTATTCTAATTGGAACACTATTTGGTTTTCTTCCTGAGTCAGTGATTCCCCAAGAAACTATTGTTTTCTATCTCAAATAAATGCTTGTTTGCCTCTCACTTCGAAAAATCTTTTATTTTTTGGTTAACAACTTGAACGATCTGGTTCGGACACTGTTGGGTTCATTTCTCACACAGAAGTGCCCTCTCCCCTAGCAAACTTCATATATTTACTTAGAAATTAAGGGTTAAGTATCAGCCCCTATGAGCTCTACCTGATACAAACATAAAGACCTGTGAACCGGTAAACATAAATGCACTGTCCATGACATTGTGCAATTTTTTTAAATTTTTTTGGTCAATCCTCACCGGAGGATATTTATCCATTAATTTTTAGAGAGAGCGGAAGGGATGGAGGGGGAGGGGAGAGGGGAAGAGACACATGCATTGGTTGCCTCCCACCCATGTCCCAAAGGCCCCAGGATAGAACCTGCAACCAGGTAAAATGCCCTTGACTAGGAATTGAACTCTTGGCCCTTTGGTGCAGTGGCCCGCGGCCCCCCCCCCCCCCCAATACTCTAACCACTGAGCGACACCAGCATGTGGGCATCTGCTAAACTGGCTTGCCACACTTAGATTCGGCCCATAGGAGCCCAGAATAGACTCAGGCAGTTTATCGTTTACACGGACAGCAACAGAAAGATCAGCATAGTGTATCAGCTCCCGGTGTCCCTACTCCCGCAGGCCCACACCAAACAGGAGGACTAGATGACAGATGACAGGAACCCTGGGGTCCCTGAGTTGTTAAGGAGCAAGGCGGGGCCAGCACTTGCAGGAACGTGTAAAACTTTACTGCCTAAGGGGGCAGGATAGGGGGTAGCGGGTAGTCGTAAAGCAGAAAGTTCTGTGTTCCACTGAAACCAGGGAGACAGGAGACACCACTTGTGTCTGACTCCTCCAAGGGGGCCAGGGGATGGCAAACCTCGGCTTGCTGGCAGTTCCACCCATTTTCCATCGTCTTGGTGGCAGGAGCAGGCAGCAGAGCCAATCCAGAGACAGAGGGTGAGCATTTGCAGAGCTGGGGCGGGGGTCGGGGAGCGGGGCGGGCGGAGGATGGAGGGAGGGAGGATGGGGGCGGGAGGCTGGGGGCGGGAGGCGGCGCCGCGCTCGCATTGGCCCAGCGGGCGCCCCTCCTCGCGGGGCCGGACGCGCGGGGAGAGGAGCTCGGGCTGCGGTAGGAGGCGGCGGCGGCGGCGACCCTGGCACCGGAGAAACATGGCAGAGTATTCGCGGTTGCGGAGCTGCCTGGCGCTGATTCGCCTCCGGAACCCGCCGCTCAACCCAATCAGGTAACGGGCTCGAGTCGCCTCCGGACTGGGTTCGGCGGGGCTGCGCCCGCCGGCCTGCGATGCAGGCTCTGACTCTCCCTGGCTGACTGAGCAGGACCCACATTGAACGTGAACTTAAGCCAGGACCTTTTGCATAGGTTACCCGGGTTAATGATCGTAGAGAATGCCATTTGGGGAGGAAAACGAGGCCGAGAGGCAGGCCGATGGCTGCAGAGGAGGGGAGCTGGACTGGCACCGTCTGCCTGTGCCAACTTCGTGCTGCACCCTCCTCCCGGCCTGCAACTTGGACTTCACAGGCCTGCTTTCTGTTCCAAAGGTCTCCGTGCAAAGCTGGCTGGACTTTGATCCCTCACTTCCCAATCTCCAGTGGAGGCCACTCACTAAGAGCTTTAGGAACTCGACAATGTGGCTTCACCTATACAAAAAAAGTAAAACAAACAAACAAACAAACAAACAAAAACCTCATTAATGCCAACACAGCGAGGAAAGGAGACTTGTGCCAAACCTCCAGACCTTAGTGTTTTAGCAGACGATCCATGCCAGCCAAAGCCTAAGTAGTATTTTCTGAAAAAACTGTGCACGTTACCCTCTTGTATTCCATCATGAGTACCTTTTCTGCTAAACGTTGTAACCCAGATTTGTGCAGTACTGTCTGCGTGACTTTGAAAAGTGAGAGGAATGCACTTTTATGAAAATTAATGACGTTATTTTATAGGTCTGATTCTTCCATGTCTCTGAAAAGAGTATAGTAATCCCCTTCCACAGGGAATGGGATTAGCAGAAGTTATCATTTAAATGGTTCTATAAAGGATAGGAAGACCTTTGTTTAAATTCCATCACATGCTGCTGGAGCAAAAAAAAAAAAAAAGGACTGAGATGAGGTGCCCTGCTAATTTTAACTGTCTTTTAATCCTGTCATCAGATCTGGTTTTATCATTAGTATTAATATTTATTCTTTTTGATATGAATTATTGCGTTTAATAATACAAAAGAATTGCAGGAGTAAAACCACACAAGGATGACATGTTCACTCTCTTGCCATTCTCAGAAGAAAGCAAAATATTCTTTATTTTGGTTTTGATGAAGAAACACTTCAGCAATATGCTTACATATACATTTTGGACTTGTCTGTATTCTAATTAGAATTATTAGAGATTAGAACTGCCTGCCTCGACCTCTGCTCATAATGGGAAACCATGCCCATCAAGAATTTGAAGAGGAAAGTTCCACAGTCTAATACTCATAGCTAGGAATATTTTCTTATAACCTTTTTTAATGTTTAATGAATTTAATCCACTGTCACCTACCTTGCAGGAGAAATATTAGTATCTACATCATAAAGTTGTTATGATGTTGAAATGTGCTGGAGATTAGAAGTTGGCATTTACCAGAGGTTAGCTATCATTGCTTCTATTCCTCAGAAGCCTGTTACAAGCCCCTACCAACAGGCCCTGCTGCTCAGGAATCATTTCAGCTTCATCGAGATTTCCCCTTCTTGGAATAAATACTTAATTGCTTTTTTTTCTATCTGTGTCTGAAGTTAAGTAGAGTATGTATCCCAGAATGTTCATCCAAAACTGTTCCCAATTTTTCTTCTTTTGCTTCGTATTTTTCTTCCCCCCTCTTCCTTCCTTCCTTTTCCCCTTCGTACTTCTAATTTTATATCTTCCTTGCCCACTGAGAGATTCTTATTTTAATATTATTTTGGCCCAAACAAATGGTTTAAATGCTTCTTGGCTAATTTAGCCAGCTATGTTTTCTTCAATCCAGGTGAATGCCAACCCTCTTTGCAAATCAGGACATGCCTGATTACGGCCTGTCTCCCAACACACTTTTTTTTTCCCCCCACAGGTTTAATTTACTCAGTAAGAAACTCCATGTTTTGCATTGCAACCTAAGACATACAAATACACAACTGAACACAAAGTTTCATGAAATAAAACTTGGTTCTGAGTCACTCTGCTGAGCCTCTCCCGCTTCTTAAATGAGGGTGTATCCAGAAGATCTACTCTCGGTTCTCTTTTCTTTCCCTTTGGCAGGCATTTAATATTGGCTTTAACCATCTTCTCTGTTGTTGACTCCCTTTTTAATTGAAATTAATAAAACCTACTACATGTCCTTTCTTTCCCTGACCTTGCCTTTACCTGATAAATTAGTGTTTAGGATTAGGTTTGACTGTCAGTGACAGAAAACTCAAAATATTGGATGAAACAAGAAACAGTTGATTTTCTCATAGCAGTGTATGGCTGCTCCACAATCACCAAGGACCCCAATTCTCTCTCTCTCTCTGCCCTGCCATCTTCAATATATGGTCCCATAAAACCTTTTGGTCCATACAGGCTACTCCTGATCTAACCATCACCTCTTCATTCCTGCCAGGAGTAGGGAGGAAAAAAGAAAAAGTATACCTAGTCCTTTAAGACTCTTCTAGAAAAATTGTATATGCAAATCTGCTTCTATCTCATTGGTCAGAACTTAAAGCCTTGGGCTAACCTTACTGCATAGCAGTTTGGGAAATGTAGTCTTTATGTTGGGCAGCTATGTTTTCAGCTAAAAACCTTATGTTTAATACTGCTTTGAAGAAGGTGGGGAGGTAAGAATATTTAGGGTAACTTGCAGTCCCTGCTACATCTGTTTCTTTTAGAGTATTTCAGTTAGGCATTATGGGGGCCAGAGAAGCTTGGCTAAAGAAACCAAGTTCTCCTTGTCTCAAGGCCCCTCGCTTTTTATTAACACAAATTGTCCTAAAGCAGTGATTGGCAAATTCATTAGTCAACAGAGCCAAATACCAAAAGTCAACAGTACAACGATTGAAATTTTTTTTTGAGAGCCAAATTTTTTAAACTTAAACTTCTTCTAATGTCACTTCTTCAAAATAGACTCACCTAGGCCGTGATATCAATATTTTGTGAAAGAGCCACACTCAAGGGGCCAAACATCTGCAAGTGGTTTGCAAGCCACAGTTTGCTAACCACAGTCCTAAGGCAAAGTAGATATACAATTCAGAGGCCAGGGTTTAGTGCACAGAATCCATTGTCAGATTGGAAGAATTACCTCTGGCTGTTTAGGTGTTTGGCCAGGAGGAAGCAATAACTGTAGATTAAGATGCCCTCAGCTATCTGGCAGCGAGCAATTAATTTATGCAAATCTTTTTTCAGGTTTGGGGAAATGCCCTCAGCCATTTCCAGATAATTCAGCCCTGCTGGAAGCAGAAAAATCTCTGGATGGTAGAAATTTAATTCTGACTAATGTTTTATTTATTTATTTTTCTTTTAGTATAGCTGTCTTCAATGGAATAAAAGAGGGACTACAGAAAGCTTTAACAGACCCTACAGTAAAAGCCATTGTGATTTGTGGAGCAGATGGCAACTTCTCTGCAGGTACCAGTACCTAACTTTCTCCTGTAATCTCTGGAACTCAGCCTCACATTGATACTGCATAAGCTGTCCCTGTGGGTAATACCATAGTTTGGGCAATGGATATGGGAGAATTTAGTGGGAATGAGAAACTGTAGAGAAAGAGACTGTGGAATTACAACAGAGACCCAGAGAAGAGTTTGACTTTATTTTCTTTTATATTGGATTGGACCTTTGTAAAATATTTAGTTGTAGACTCGATAGCTGTAATACCTGCTTGTATGTATCTGCTCTTTATATCTCCACGCTATATGAACTTGAACAAATTCCTTTAATCTTCTGAATTTTAATTATGTTATGGAATTGTACACTTGAATCTATGTAATTTTATTAACCAATGTCACTCCAATAAATTTATTTTAAAAATAAATCAATCTCTCTATTTTTAAATAGTTTATTTTTTAAAATATATTTTTACTAGAGGCCCAATGCACAAAGATCTGTGCAATAGCCTTCCTTCCCCTGGCTGCTGGCACTGGTTTTTCTCCAGCACTCGGGACCCGGGCTTCAGTGGAGCCAAGCCTTCAGCCTTCCGGCTTGGCTCTGGCTGCAGTGGAGCCTTCAGTCTTCAATCTTTGCTTGGGCGGAGCCTTCAGTCTTCACTCCCTGCCTGTGTACGCAAATTAACCCACCATCTTTGTTGGGTTAATTTGCATAATCTCTCCTGATTGGCTGGTGGGCATCACGGAGGAAGAGTCATTTTGCATTTTTCTCTTTTATTGGTGTGGATTGATCTCAGAAAGGAAGGGAGAGGGAGAGAGAGATAGAAACATCCATGATGAGAGAGAATCATGGATCGGCTGCCTCCTTCATGCCCCCTACTGTGGATTGAGCCTGCAACCCGGTCATGTGCCCTTGGCTGGAATCAAATCCAGGACCCTTCAGTCTGCAGGCCAATGCTCTACCCACTGAGCCAAGCCAGCTAGGGGCATCAATATTTGTATTTTTTAATTAGATACAAGAATATCTATCTTGATAGGTTTTGTGAGGTTAAATGAGATAACATATCTGAAAGTCTCTAGTGCAGAGCCTACATGTAGATGTTTAATAAATGTTATTTTTTATTTCACACAGTCTTAAAATGGAGTTCATTTTTCTTCTGCTAATTATCTATCTTAGTGACCATGATACTTTTTGCTGGGTTATTCCTTGCAGATCCAAAAGTATTGACAAAAATATGACAAAAGTATCTGACATGGTGATTCAGTGATATTTGTGATATCTGCCCTCTTTTTCCAAATGAATATATTAATCCCTTTGACAAAGTCATATGAATAGGAGGGCCTATGTAATATTAATGTAGCTAGAGGAATTTAATATATGTTAATGGTAGCCTGAAAAGAAACATATTGGAATTAAGACAACAGATAAATATAAATATGATAATCATAATAATTATCATTTATCTTGCCTGCTATGTACCAGGACTATGTAGGTTATTTGCTAATAATGAAAATAGTAGTATTTTTCACTTAGTATATTTTAATCCTCAATAAATCTATAATATCTATTTATAGCTGAGAGGGCTGAATTTGAAAGATTAAAATAATATGACAAACATAAACCAGCTATTAAATAGCTTATTCAACTCTTTGAAAATTTATGACATGGAGAAAAGGATCAGAATTATGGAGAACTTGATATTTCTTTGTCAGTAAGGAGATATTAGAGAGAGGATGTAGTTCAAGTTTAGGGCATAAAAATTATTCTTCTAGAAAAGCATTAAGAATTGTCAGATTTGACTTAGTGCAATAGAGCAATGTACCCAACAATTGCAAAAAAATACATTTTTCTCAAATCTGCAACATTTACAGAAATTAACCAGCTATTGGAATATGAAAGCTTATCTCAATAAATTTTCATTTAGAATATGTTCTCTGACAACAATGCAATTAAACTAGGATTCAACAATAAATATATAACTGGAAATTCTCATCTTTAGAAATGAAATTGACCTCTCTGAGTCAAAGCAGATATCATAATAGAATTTAGAAAATAATTTGAACTGAATGATAATAAAAAACACAACATATATAACAACAAATACAGCTAAAGCAAAACTTAGCAGAAAATTTATAGTCTTACATAATCAGGAAAGAAAAAAGACAAATGTAATGAGCTAAACATCTGTATCAAGGAACCAACAAAACAAGAAAGCAATAAAATAAATCCAAATGAAGTAGAAGGAAAGAAATAATAAAGAGGAGAAATTAATGAGATAGCAAACAAATGTGAATCAAGAAGATCAACAATGTCAGAAGTTAGTTCTTTGAAAGATGAATAAAATAGACAACCTCTGGGGAAGCTGATCAATAAAAAAAAAATGGCAGTAAAACAATGTATATAAGAAATGACCAAAGTGTTATCGCTGCAGATACTGTGTAGCCTTTGACAAAGATAATGAAGATATTATGACTAAATTGAAGACTATGTAGCCCACCAAAATTGACTAAGGAAGAAATAGAAAACTCAAATAGATTGCGGTTACTGGTTGGGACCTCGGTTCTTTTTGTCGATGCAAAAAAAGATTTTAAGGTCAATGAAAATGAAAAGAAAGTGAAGTGGAGTTTATGGAAGATATACTCCAAACAAGTAGCAGTCCAGGAGACACACACACACACACACACACACACACACACACACACACAGAAAGAGAGAGAGAGGGAGGGAGAGAGAGAGAGAGAGAGAGAGAGAGAGAAAGAGAGAGAGAGAGAGAGAGAGAGAGAGGGAGAGAGAATGGCTAGGCTTCTTTAGCTCACTGGGAGGTCAGAGAAAAGGGGCCTTGTAGGCAGGTTAAGGAGGTTAGCCCAGGATGAGATGAGCTGCTGCTGCCCGTTACTCCCCTGGTTGCACATCTCATGGGTTCCCCTAGAGGTTGGGGCATACATGCCAGCGGGGGAATGGCATGGATGTGCTCCTTGGAGGGAGAGTGCGCTTTGTTTTCTTTGTCCTGAGCATGAGTATTCATTTTTGGCAGGTGGAAATCTTAGGGGAGGTCTCAGGTTCAAAGGACAGATATCTGCAAAGCCATTCTTCCATGAAGGCTCTAGGGAAGAATCCTTCCTTGCCTCTCTGGCTCCTTTCAGTTGGTAACAATTCTTGGTTGCCCTTGGCCTGTTTCTGCCTCTGTTTTCCTGTGGCCTTCTCCCCTGTGTCCAAATTTTCCTAATCATAGATAGATCCATCCTAATCCACTATGACCTCATTTGGAAAGACACTATTTCCAAAAACAGCTCACATTCACTTGTTTGGGAAACATCATTCAACCCAGTACACTGCCCAACTCATATTTTGAGGCTAGCATAACCTTGATATCAACACCTGTCAAGGACAATATGAAAAGCAAAATTATAGGCCAATTTAACTCATAAATACAAATATAAAAATTTTAAACAGTATATTATAAAATGGAATATAACATATATAAAAATGTAATGTATACATTTTACCCTGAGACTTTCTATTGTGATAACTCATGCCTGTAACAAAGAAATGGCTTGAAATTACTGTGAATAGGATTAGTGAGCAGGATCATGTAAAAAATGGAAGGGGTTGACTCAGTCTCAGAATAATGCTCATTGTAGGAAAATCTCTATTCTCTTTCTTCGGGCTTCTTAACTTTTCTAAAGGTAGCATATGGAGAGACAGACTTTAGAAGATTATAGAATTCTTTAAGAGATTTGAGAATTTTCTATCAATCTACATTTTCCAGCTATTTTTGTACTTTTACTGCGTCACCACCTAAAAGATGAAGTGTTTCATGGCTCTGAAAAGGTCTGAGATTTCTTAAAAATTATCTGGTACTTTATTGTTATGGAACAAAGCCCACCTCTCTCTCAATTCTCTTTTTCTTGTCTTTGTGTCCTTAGGTGCTGATATCCATGGCTTCAGCGCTCCTGCTACTTCTAAGTTCTCATTAGGAAATTTAGTAGATGAAATGCAGAGAAGTGAGAAGCCCTTGGTGGCAGCAATCCAAGGCATGGCTTTAGGAGGCGGACTAGAGCTGGCCCTGGGCTGCCACTATAGGATTGCCCATGCAGAGGTAACAGCTGGGTTCCATGTGGGACTTGGTGTGTAGGGTTTTTCTTTAGGGTAAGCTCTACACTGAGTGGCCAGATTATTATGACCACCTGACTTTTGTAGGCAAATTAGCTGTACACTGCATCGTATGGGATATGGAAGGTGAAGGCCTGTTTGAACACCTTTGCTATCTGCAGTTACCAAGATAAAACAGGAACACAATTCACACAGGAACACAAGGATTGGACAGTCAAGCATTGGAAAAAAGTCATGTGGTCCGATGAATCACATTTCCATTTGCATCATGCAGATGGCAGAGTAGAATTTTGTGGAAACAGCATGAAAGCATGCACCCCACATGCATGAGTACAACCCTTCAAGCTGGTAGGGGCAGTGTTATGGTTTGGGGCATGTTTTCCTGGCATGATTTGGGCTCTTTAATTTGTGTGGAACAACATCTGAGTAGTACAACATACCTAAGTATCATTGCTGGTCAAGTTCATCTTATCATGTTGATGGTGTATTCCAATGGAGATGGCTTTTTTCAACAAGACAATGCGCCATGCCAGAGTGCTCATATTGTGCAGGAGTGGTTTCAAGAACATGAGGGAGACTTTACCTTGCTTAGGTGGCCCCCACAATCACCAGATCTCAATCCAATTGAGCATTTGTAGGTCGAAATTAAAATAGCCATCAGGCAGCTGGTTCCACAACCATCAAATCTCACAGAACTTGTCGAGGTTTTTGTCCCAGCATTACAAAGGGTTCTGCAATTTGGAGAAAGGAGCTGCACGTAGATTTGATAAGGAGTCCAAGGACAAAAGATAGTTTTGAAAGGCATTGAGAATCAGAGGGGCTTTAGCAAAAGGAGCTAAAGGCTACTCCTTGTCTACAAACCCTATGCTATTTATTAACACAATTTTTCCTAGGGCAAGGTGGAGATAATATACTTCAAAGGATAAGGTTTCAAAGGGTAAGGTTTACAGAAGCATTGTCAGGCTGGGGAATAGCCTACACCTGTTTGGCCAATAGGAGGCAATAACATGCAGATTAAGATGCTCTGAGCTGTCTGGCAGTATTCAGGTTTGGAGGAAGTGCCTATTCAGGTTTGGAGGAAGTGCCATTTAGCTGTTCCAACAGGTAAACTAAATATGTGGCTCAACCCTTTTTGAGCCCCCCCCCCAAGCTTCACCAACCTTTTGATGAAACTCTTGTAATTATGACATGGTGGAATTGGTTCCTGGCAAGAACTGGACAGTGCTATTCATTAGACATGGTGTCAGATTCCTCGCATCACCTTTTAACATCTTGTGGAGTCAATGTCAAGAAGAATCACTGCAGTATTGAAGGCAAAAGGTGGTCCTACGAAGTACTGATGGGGTGATCACAATAATCTGGCCACTCAGTGTAAATGTAGTTATAAACATCCAAGTTGATCATTTCAAATGGTTAGCTTACTGGTTGACAAATCTTAGGCTTTTCTAGCATGGGTGCTCAGCTATGGTGTATCAGTTCAGTGATACTGGTTGTTAAAATCTTGAAATACTCTAACCACTGAGCAATTGGCCAGGGTGCTTTGATCACTTTTAAATGGCTAGGAGGGGCATATGATAAGGCCTGAAGCTCACCCTCTTAACTGGGTTGAGGTTGCTTGACTCTTCTCCTCCTCCTTTTCCACTCCCTCCTTCTACATTTACTAATTTAAAGTGTACAATTCAATGGTATATTACTATATTCAGAGAGTTGTGCAACCATTACCAAAGTTTATTTTATTTATTTATTTATGATTCTCACCCAATGAGATTTTTGTATTAATTTTTAGAAAGAGTGGAAGAGGGAAACATTGATGTGAGAGAAACATGCCTATCGGTTGCCTCTTGTATGCGCCCCGACCAGGGCCTGGACTGGGGAGGAGTCTGCAACCAGGTACGTGCCCTAGACCTGATTCAAACCCAGGACTCTTCAGTCCACAGGCCAATGCTCTATCCATTGAGACAAACCAGATGGGGACCCAAGTTAATTTTAAAATATTTCATTACCATAAAAAGAAACTTCATTTAGAAATAATCGTCCATCTTCCTTCTCTCCTAGTCCTAAGCAACCACAAATTTATTTTCTTTACTTTAAAAAAAAAAAAACTATATTTTATTGTTTTTTTACTAAGAGGAAGGGAGAGGGAGAGTTAGAAACATCGATCAGTGGCCTCCTGCATACCCCCTACTGGGGATGTGCCCGCAACCAAGCTACATGCCCTTGACCAGAATCGAACCTGGGACCATTGAGTCCGCAGGCTGACGTTCTATCCACTGAGCCAAACCATTCAGGACCACATATTTACTTTCTGTCTTTATGGATTTGCCTATTCCAGACATTTAATATAAATAGATTATACAATATGTTTTATGTATTTTCTGTCACTTAGCCTAATGTTTTCAAGGTTCACTCATGTTGTAGCCTATATCAGTTCTTCATTACCTTTTGTGGCTAAACAATATTCCCTTGTATGAATATGCTGCATTTTGTTTATTCATTCATCAGTTGATAGACATTTGGATTTTCCTACTTTCTTAACCTTAATGAACACTATGAAAATTTGTATTCAGGTTTTTCTGTGAACATGCTTTCACTTCTCTTGGGTATATTGCTGGGTCATAGGGTAGCACTGTGTTTAACTTTTGAGGAACTGGCAAGTTGTTTTCCAAAGTGGCTACAACATTTTGCATTCTCACCAGCAATGTATGACGGTTTTGTATTCTCCACATCCTGTCTTACACTTATTATTGCCTTTTGTTTTTATTGTAGTCATCCTAGTCAATGTAAAGTGGTATCTTGTTGTGGTTTTGATTTGTATTTCCCTGATGGCTCATGATATTAAGCATCTTTTCTAATGTGTAGTGGCCCAACTATAGCTCTTTTTTTTTTTTTTTTTTTTTGAGAATGTCTATTTAGAACCTTTGCATATTTTCAATTGGATTATTTGTCTTTTTATTATTGAGTTGTAAAGCTTCTTTATATGATCTAGATATATATAATTTAAAAAGGTTCTCTCCCATTCTGTGGATGTCTTTTTACTTTATTTGCTGATTGGATCTTTCAGGACTCTATAAAGCTGTTTCTGGAGGTTATTATTTTTGTTGACCAGGACAGGTCATAATAGACTAAGAAAAAAAAATGTGTAAGATGCTCAGGATGTGTTTCAACATTTCATTATCATTAGGGGACAATACAGCTTTTGTTTTTTAATGCTGTTAATTAAATTAAAGAGAGGGTATGCAATAATTAGCCTTGTAGCAACTCTTGCTAAATTCTATGAAACAATGTTTTTTGAGAGTTTGGGAAATCCAGGGGAATGCTCATTTTCTATGTCATCTTATTCCATTGACCTTTCTGCCTTTAAACTTTGATAGGCTCAAGTTGGCTTCCCAGAAGTCAACATAGGACTTCTTCCTGGTGCAAGAGGAACTCAGCTTCTCCCCAGGCTCATTGGAGTTCCTGCTGCACTTGATTTAGTTACCTCAGGTCAGTATAAACCCTGCCAGCAGTTGTGTAGGTCAATGTGGGGAACTGGAATAGGATTTAGAAAAATCTTGGCTGCACCATTTCATACCCATGTAATCTTAAGAGGATACTTAATAGCTAACGTATTCTGATATCCTGAAATCTACAAGAGAGGTAATTCTGGAAAGTAGATTGATGGCAGCACCAACTATTGCTTCTCCACAATTCCCTTAAAGTGCCTGCTGAAAACGACCCCATGTTAGCAGTGATCACAAAAGATGTGATTGAACACATTGCAGTTCATCCCCTGATGTTCTCTATCCAATCAGGTGACAAGAACTGCAGTGCCCTGTTCTTTCTGCTTTTACTTTCTAGGTCTCATTCTCCTTGTTCATGGAACAGCATAGAAAGCCTCCCCTCTATTCTCTTAGAACTTATCCCCAGCCCTAATGGGATTCTTTATGATCATTCATGGTATGGGGATACCCCAGATCTCTAGACTTCGATGAGATCCCTCTTTTTATCTAGAACACCTGGGGAGTGGCACTTTTATCCTGCCTGCCTTCCAGATTTAGGTATAAGTGAGGTTTCTCCATATTTTAACAAGGTGTTGAGGGTAAGTTTTACACCAAGGGCTCCTGGGCAGCAATAATAAGTATCAGCAAATTTAATTTCATGATCAAAACAAAGGAACCAGACAAACCAAAATCTCAAAACTAAACCTCAAATCTAAAGCCTATGAAAATATTGTGACATAAAAATGAAGCATAAATCTGAGCCTGCTGAAACAGACTTTAAAAAATAAGAATATTAGAAAATTCACATTATTAAAAATTAAGAAAAAAATAGTTTCTTTATTAAATAGAAATACCCTGTTTAAAATAAAAAATTAGCCACAGTTATTTCTTTTTGAAGCAACAAAAACAGATGTCATGGAACAGACAACAGAATCAGCAAAATGGAGGATAGAGACACATTTATAGAATTCAGAAGAATTTAACAAAAATATACATAAAATGTAAATGAAGGTAGAAGACATGGAGAATATGTAATAGAGGTCTGTTTTGAATAATAAGAGCTCCCAAAGCATGAAGCATAAAGGTGAGAAATAACCAAAGGAAAAAATAGAAGAATTTTTTCAGTTAGGAACTAGAATCAGAGATTGTATTTTAGCAAGCACACTATTTTCTTGGAAAAATTGATGAAACAATATCAATGCCTGATATATTTTGGCATATATTTTAAACTTCCAGGAAATAGAATCATGCAGTCTTCCCAAGGATAAGAACAAAATGCAACAAAGGCTACTTTCAAAATAACAAATCACTCCATCAAATGCTAAATGTATGGAACATTCATATAATTAAGATGGTCTGCAGTCTTTAAAATGATCATCTAAATTAAGAGTTCTTAAAATGTGATTCAGGGACTGCTGGGTATTCCTGAGACAACTATGAAGTCAGAACTATTTTCATAATCATAGGCCATTACT